GTGCTGGGATTTGAACCCAGGTCTTCTGTAAGAAGAACCAGCGTTCTTAACCACTGAGCCATCTCTCCAGCCCCTAATTTTACTCTTTTAAATAGCCACAGGTAGTGTTATGGTTACCATATTGAGTAGCACAGCTCTAAACCAAGTCTCAAGTGTTTTTTTTTGAAAGAGTCTCCCTGTAGCCCCAGCTGACCTGAAACTCACTATGTAGACCAGGCTGGCCTTGAACTCACAGAGATCCACCTGCCTCTGCCTCCCAAGTGCTGGGATTAAAGGTGTATGCCACCACAGATGGCCTAAGTCTCAAGCTTTATACTTCAGCTTATGATGTATAGAAACCCAATAATTTTACAGACCATAAGATAGTTAGATCTTGCTGTTCATTTACTTATCATAGCCTCTAATCCTGCTTATCTATGTGGGCTTTGGGGGTTTTATTTTGGGGATGGGAGGCTTTTTGAGACAATTTCTTTTTTTTCTTTTTTGTCTTTTTGAAGCAGGGTCTCCCTGTAGCCCTAGCTGTCCTGGAACTCACTATGTAGACCAGGCTGGCCTTGAACTCACAGAGATCCGCCTGCCTCTGCCTCCCAAGTGCTGGGACTACAGGCATGCGCCACCATGCCCGGGGAGACAATTTCTTGTTATAGGGTCCTGGTTACAGTCTTTCCCCCTTATCCTCCTAAATGCTGAGATTGCAGGCCTCTGCCATCACACTCAGCTTAACAATACATGTCTGAGGTCTCACTTTCTCTGATACAGTTCAGATGCTGTCTCTCAAACAGAAAAGAGGGGTATGATGAAAAAGATGTCATACTTAGCATTCTCAAGCCCAAGAAATATCAGATCCTCTTAATTCATCCCCAGTTAACCTTCCTGTCTGTATGAGTCAGGGTTCTCTAAAGAAACAGAACTGGTAGAATGAAAATATATATATATACACACACATACAGAGAGAGAGAGAGATTTATCAGTGTAAATAAAATGTGTGAAATAATATATTTTAATTATGTCTACTTTTTATGTGTCCATAATAACTTATGAATTGAACAAGACAAAGACTGTTGTCATAGTCTGGATGATCGATGAGTACTTTCACATCATATCTAAACTAGTCATAAGAACAAGCTGCATAGGGAATGTCATGTCTTCCTTGAGCACCCTGTGTATTTAGTGCATTTGTGAGACGCAATAATGAAATATTTAGTTGCTGAATTCCAATGGGAGTTTTAAGGCTTCCACAACTAATGTCTATAAGCTGCTTTGAAGATTTAACAGACACTTACTCCCCGAAATCCCTCCCTATGGGGAGAGATACATTGTCTTCTGTGGCATGTTTATAAAAATTAG